TATTATTAGCAGCGACAAAACAGCACAAAATGGCTACACCCACCTGAAAATTAAAACACCAGATCTACTCCGTTAATTCTGCCTCACCAAGTTTAAATTTTCCACATCACTACGTACTGGGTGTAAAAAAGGGGGCCTATTTAAAGGGCAATATCTAGGTAATCGTGGGACCGATTTCAGCAAAACTCCTCAGAAATAAACTTCATCTAGGGGAACGTTACATTTCTCAATATGAAAGACATTAACAGACAATTTCGAAAAATAACTAATAAAAAAAGATATACCAAAATTAGGTGAAACGCAAAATTTTGTAACTTCTTAAAAATCAACCATATTGTCCTGTTTCTACAAGTCACTATTTCTGCGTTGAAGAACAAAATTAGACAAAATTGATTGATATTGTTAAATGAACTCAGGTCAGGTAGTGGCTTTTACCAGTTCTCTTCATACAAGCTCCTATACACCACTGTGACACGCACTTTAACATCAGCAAAGCACTGCTTTTCAGAATGCATTCACTCCGCCTCGTCTATGCTTACCCCGGAAGACTGCTGACTAGGCTAAACATTATAATAAATGAAGTGAATTAAATGCAGTGACTCTCACTTTAACATCAGCAAAGCACTGCCATTCAAATGCACTCATTCCGCTTCGTCTATTTCTACCCCGGAAGACTGCCGGCTAAACTAAACATAAATGAAATGTATTAAATTCAAAAGCTTTCCTCAAAACGTGCACTTATTGATTCTAAAGATGGTAACAAAATTGAAGTAAACTTAAGTCTTAGAGTTTAAGTCTCACATTCAGTATGAAATAAATCCAGATCTTTACCAAAGACAAAGAACTGTAATAACCTGTAGGTTACCCCTGTGGCCTGAGAATAAGGAATTCAACAGCTGACCTGAACTTCCTTTCAAGCCTGCGCCACAAACTTTATAAGGTACAGGACAATGATAAATGAAACAACAAAAATGAACCAAGTATAAGTATGTGAGTACATGTAACAATCAATGACATCACTCTTCGAAATGAACATGCCACTGAAGCACAGGGTATAACATTAATTCAATCACAAACTGCACGCAATGCAAGCAAAAAGTGAGCAAATAAATATTAATAACTGACAAAGTCAGAATCCTTTCTTTGTCACCAGACCCTCATGAATAACAATGGCATGCTATTGCGCTCCAAGGGTCCCTTTTCCAAACAATCATTGAGAGAAATTCTCTTACAGCCAGATGGCGTTTTTCCAGGTCCATTCTTTGGACCTCTTGTTTAACATTGGGTTTCAACCGTTCGATTGTTTGTCGGTTGTTTCTGTAGTGTTTGTCTGTAAAAACAACCCCAAAGGTAGTAACTGAAGGGCACCAAAGAGTAGGGGAATGAAGTAACCATTCATTTGTAAACTTTCGACTTATAAGGTGTTCCCAAAAACTTTCTTGCAACCATACAAGGGCCACTCCTGACGTTTGTGGTGTGGCCTCGTCCAACTAGAACCAGGCCTCTTCAGCATAACACATTCTCCTCCCCAAACTTCTCCAAAACTTTCTCAGAACGTTGAGATATAATATATCCTTCTGGTGTGACTGTCGTGGTTTAAGAGTCCTTGCTCTGAAACCAGACCGGGTCGATATTGTAGCTGAACACTTTTAAGAAGTAAAATTTTGCGTTTTACCCAATATTGGTTGTGATTTTTTAAACTTGATATTTCACCAACGTGTCAATACATTTTTTAAAAAAACTTCATGACTTCGAAGCTGGATTTCATTTTTGCAAAGTTTTATTAAAATTAGTCAAGAGTGGACTGAGTTTTTGCCCTTTAAGTGGGTCCTCTTCTTTTTTTTAGAGACCATGCACAATTATCTACCGAAGTGATTTCTTTTACGGCAGTTTACATTTCGGGGTAATAGCAGAAACTGTATTTATCGTCTTCTCTTTCAAGTGCCAGATATGATAAAGACATGGCATAATTCGCAACTTATGATGCTGCGCGGATCTCTCTGCAAAAATTGATGTTATCCCGTATTTACCTGTCACCCATCTGTTCAAGCTCTCAAAGTAATCTTGGTCTACCTCTGACTCTTGTGTCTTTTTCCTTCTTTTTCTTTTATCGCCACTTCCTAATTGAGATAACAATACATTTCTGTCAACAAACAGAACAATTCAGGTTTGTGTTATGTTATGTTACCTCACCATGACTATTGTAAACCCATCCAAGCGCATGTCTCTTCTCAAACCATCCCCTTAAACAAGAACACCAACAAAACCCAAAAGAACAAAACACGGACACCTATAAGATATCGAGGTGTATAATATATCTTTGGGACTGACACACACAGCTGCTGCTTTCGGTATGTTTACCAATCAATCCCCCACCCCACCCCCCACCCCTCCCCCTCCCCCCCTCGGTGGGCCATATTGTATGTAGACAGTTCTGGCAAAGTGGGGCAGTTGAGCGCCCTACTTCCTTTGTACAAAAGAACGGCAGGTAGGAATTCGGAGGAGAACAAAAAAACTAAGAAGATCACAGCAAGGAGTGTTCATTTACTTGACAATTTCTCGGCTCTTTCAGGGGTTAAAAAGTGGTTCTTAATCGTAAATTGAACCTTACAACACGTGTTTTCATCCTTCCTGGAAATATTCATGCTTTCTTCACCTGTTTGCAAGATTCGATGGTTTCGTGTCCCTAATTCACCGTGCTATTTATTGTAGACAGGCAAACGTTAAACCAGGTAACGTATTGAGCAAGTAAAAACATTTGGGCATATCCATGACGAACAATTCAGCTGTTCTCCAAGATATTTGTCGGGAGAGAGAATAAAAAGTATTCATTGTTTCTAAAAAAATGTTTACCTAAAATATAATGTACCATATGTGAGGCAGCGTGGTGGAATCAGGCTCTCGTCAATTTTTGGGCATGTAGAGTTATGGGTATGATCCTCAAGCTTGTTCACTTATCTTTAATTGAAAGAAAAAAATATCCATTTATCTTGAATACAAGTCGAGATATTTGCGAATGAAGGAGGTGGGGGTCACCTGTTTTCAGAGGTAAAATTAGTGAGAAAATGGCCGTCAAAGATTAGTTATTTCCTTAGAGTAAGAGCCCGCGGTAACTGAAAAGTTACATTTTTGTGCCTTTAATCAACGTTTTTCAGAAAAATTCAAACAGAAATGAGTTTTTTAATGGGCATGAAAGTTGTTGAA